TAGAATCTGTAGAGAGACTGGCTCAGTCTGGCTCAAAGGCTCAGGGGCCACCTTAAGTCTGCTGGGCCATGATGGGGAGGAAAGGATTGTAGTGAAAAATTAGGTATTTGGGCTATTATTGGTGGAGGAAAGGTTTTCTTAGAAGGGATTGTAAGAACCAACCATGATTGATGAACATCAGAAATCACAGAAGAAATAATTACTAATAAATGGTGGGATAGCTGGTTAATTATGTGGTAGAATAAAACTGTGAGATTTTCACCTCTCACTTGAAGCAAAGATATTTATTCATTTGTTTGTTTGTTTATTTATTTATTTATTTAAAAAGGATTATTTGTTTACTCATGTGAGGCACACAGAGAGAGGCAGAGACATAGGCAGAGGGAGAAGCAGGCTCCCTGAGGGGAGTCCAATGTGGGACTCAATCCGAGGACCCTGGGATCATGCCCTGAGCTAAAGGCAGACGCTCAACCACTGAGCCACCCAAGTGCCTGCCCCTTCTCTGCTTTTCTTCCACCTGATTTGTAAGGAGCATTTTTCTGTGTAATTAACTATTTATAAAAAATAATGTAAGTTCATATAGTGCATCTCATCTTAAGCACTATAACAGATTTTCTCCATTACCCGAATGCTGTGGTGTCTTTTGTAGTCCTTTTCATGACCAAGGAAAGTTCTTTCCCAGTATTAAAGTAATGCAAGAAGTCCCAAATCCCTTAATGTATTTTTGAATTCCAATTTGAATTGTAAAATCAAATCAGTATATGCACTTATAAACAGACCAAATTCTACTGAAAGGTTAACAGTGAAAAATAGTTCAATCTTCTCCTTAGAGCTAATTATTTTTAACTCTTCCAACATTTGCTTCTAGTTTTAATTACTATCTTTTGATTTAACATTATTCAGATATTTTCTGTTGATTTTTTATTATGGAAAATGAAGCTGGATCTCTTCAATTGTTTATTTCTTTTTTTCCAATCCTCTACATATAATTAACTCTAACTCAGTTTTTTGGTGCTTTTTATTTGTTTTAATTTTTAGCCTACTAGCTAGCCACTCCAGGGGGCAGATTAACTCACTGTTTTTATTACAGCAAACAAGTATTTACATAATTTTGATTATGATTACAAAATATCATTCAGTGAAAAGCAAAGTGTATTCTCTAGTCGCCTTTTCTTTTTTTGTACAACTTTTTGTTTTTCTTGGAGTTAATTGTTGCCTGCCTGCCTTCTCTCCTTCCTGCCTTCCCTCCTGCCTGCCTGCCCACGTGCTTGCTTTCCTTCCCTCCTTCCTTCCTTCCTTCAGCTCTACACCCAACATGGGGCTTGAACCCATGACCCCAAGATCAAGAGTCACATCCTCCACTGCTGAGCTTGGCAAGCTCCCCTGCTTTTCTTCTTATTTTATTTTTTTTAAGATTTTATTTATTTGTTCATGAGAGACACACAGAGAGAGAGGCAGAGACAGGCAGAGGGAGAAGCAGGCTCCATGCAGGGAACCCCACATGGGACTCGATTCCGGGTCTCCAGGATCACGCCCTGGGCTGAAGGTGGCGCTAAACCACTGAGCCATCCGGGGCTGCCCAGAAACCTGCCTTTGATTACCATTTTTCCTTTCCTGCTCCTTGGACCTCATCTTTTTTTTTTTTTTTTAAGATAATTTATTTATTGGGTGCCAGGGTGGCTCAGTCGGTGAACCGTCTGCCTTCAGCTCATGATTCTAGGGTCCTGGAATCAAGTCCTACATTGGGCTTTCTGCTCTGCAGGAAGTCTGCTTCTCCCTCTCATTCTGCCATTCCCCCTGCTTGTGCTCACTTTCTCACTTGCTCTCTCTCTCTCAAATAAGTTTAAAAATCTTTTTAAAAAAGATTATTTATTTAGAGAGAGGGTGCATGAGCAGGGGAGGGGCAGAAGGAGAGGGAGAGAGAATCTCTAGCAGACTCTGGGACTGAGCCTGGAGTTGTCTCCTAGAATCTTCCATTTTCCTCCCTCAATCTGTATCACTGGCACCCTTAATCTTATGCATAGTAGTAATCTTAGACTTTTTTAAAGTTGCTTTCCCGGGTTACATGCATTGTTTTCTGTGGCTCTGCACTGTGCTCACTCTTGGTCAGTTTTTCTTTTCTGCTGGAGTATATTTTTGGGATTCTAAGAAAGTTTGCATGGGAGGTAAATTTGATTCCCTGTCATTCAGAGGATGCCACTTTTGTGGTTTGGCTCAGTATAGAATTTTATGTTGAAAATAATTCTTTTCAGAATTTTGAAGGTTTTACATCATTTCCTCCTAGCATCAGGAGTTGTTCTTGAGGGCAGCCCCGGTGGCGCAGCAGTTTAGCGCTGCCTGCAGCCCAGGGTGTGATCCTGGAGACCCTGGATCGAGTCCCACATCGGGCTCCCGCATGGAGCCTGCTTCTCCCTCTGCCCGTGTCTCTGCCTCTCTCTCTGTGTCTTTCATGAATAAAAAAGAAAAAAGAAAGAAAGAAAAAAAGTACTTCACCTTGTTGATTTTTTTTTTAAGATTTTATTTATTTCTTCATGAGAGACACACACACACACACACACAGAGATAACAGGCAGAGGGAGAAGCAGGCTTCATGCAAGGAGCCCGACTTGGGACTCGATCCTGAGTCTCTAGGATCACTCCCTGGGCTGAAGGCAGGCGTTAAACCGCTGAGCCACCCAGGCTGCCCTTTGAAGTACCTTGTTTTTTTATTTTTTATTTTTTTAAGATTTTATTTATTCATTCAGATACAGACACACACACACACACACACACACACACATACAGAGGCAGAAACACAGGCAGAGGGAGAAGCAGACTCCATGCAGAGAGCCCGATGTGGGACTTGATCCCGGGACTTGATCCCAGGATTCCAGGATCACTCCCTGAGCCAAAGGCAGACGCTAAACTGCTGAGCCACCCAGGGATCCCCAAAGTACCTTGTTATCCTACTTTTTGTTCCATGAACATGGAAGCTGCACTTGTCTCTTCCCCCAACAGCTCAAATGTCACAAACATGTGCATTGGTGTGGGTATTAGATGAGGCACTTAGGATTGTTTCAGTTCTGAGACATGGTCTTGTGTGTGTTTTTGTATGTGTGTGTATGTATGTGTTTTGACAACTTTCTCTGTTTCTCTCGCTAGAAGAGTAATTACTTGGGTATGGTACTTCCTGGGTTGATCTTATAGGTTGCTTATGGGAGTAGATGTTTTTCATCTTACTCTTTTTCTTCTTTCTGAGAGATCTTTTTTTAATTTTTAAAATTTGTTTATTCATTCATGAGAGACACAGAAAGAGGTAGAGACATAGGCAGAAGGAGAAGTAGGTTCTCTGCAGGGAGCCCAATGTGGGACTCGATCCTAGGACCCTGGGATCACGCCCTAAGCCGAAGGTAGATGCTCAACACTGAGCCACTCAGGTTCCCTTTCTGAGAGATTCTTAACTTACTTTCCAAGATTTCTTGCTATTTTTTTAAATTGTATTTTAAAGTCTCTAATCACTCTTTTTCTCTGTTCTCTTTTCATAGCAAACTAGAGATTTTCTTTGTTAGGTGTCCTCTCTTCCTGGAGTTGTGTGTGTGGCCTTGCAGAGACTGTTTATTTCTGTGTATCTTGGATTCATTTATGCTGAGGCTTCCCTGGGTCTTGGAGGTCCTTGACACTGCATTTGTGTTTGAGAGGGCACCACTCAGAACTGCTGCAGCATGTATGTGGGGAGACTCTTAGCTTATTTTAGAGGGTCCAGTTGGTCATTGGCCTTGTAGTTGGGAGGATCTCCAAAAGACTGGAGGAGTTTTTCCTTTGGGGTGTCTTGGTTCTTTAGGAAGTGTTCTTGGATTTCTTGTAGCCAGCATTCTCTATGAAGAAGCAGGGGCTAGCAGTCCTCCCATGGAGATCCCTTTTCCTCCCTCCACTCGACACAGAGATCTGACCTTTTATTTATTTATTTATTTATTTATTTATTTATTTATTTATTTATTTATTTATTTATTTTTTAAAGATTTAATCTTTTTATTCATGTGAGATACAGAGAGAGAGGCAGAGACATAGAGGGAGAAGCAGGCTCCTCACAGGGAGCCCAATGTGGGACCCGATCCCCAGACCCGGGACCACGCCCTGAGCCAAAGGCAGAAGCTCAAACACTGAGCTATCCAGGCATTGAGACCATTTTATTATTTTTAATTAAAAAAAAATTCTTTTTTTTTTTTTTAAGTTCAACGCAGGGCTTGAACTCACAACCCTGAGATCAAGACCTAAGCTGAGATCAAGAGTCAGATGCTTAACCGACTGAGCTGCCCAGGCACCCTGAGATCTGACTTTTTAACCAGCTTCCTTGTTTTCAACTTACTCTTCCTAAGCTGAATATGGCACCTCCTCGCTTGGATTTTGGGATCAAGCGTCTCTTTCCTCACCCATTTCCCTTCTGGCTGCACTGTAGGATGTGGCTTCTTCCTTTATTCTAAGAGGAACAGCAGTGGACCTCTTGGGGGGTTACCCTGTTGCCTCATGGCTGCCCTCAGAGGTCATTGGTGTCCTAATTCCCTCTGTGAGCTTTGTGGGTGAGGAACTGGCCCAAGGTTGTCCAGCTGGTAGGTGATGGGTTTGGTTTGGGATTTAAACTTAGGCTGACAACCAGTCTGTCCCCTTCATTGCTACAGAGTCCCCTCTCTGTTGAATGGCCCCTTTGTTGATATCCTTTCTTGCCTTCTTTATTTGGTAATCTTTTTAAGTGGATCTCGGAAGGGAGGAGATGTCTACGTCCTTTCCTAGTTGAATTTGAATCTTATCTGAGCCCCTGATAAATGCATTTCTTTTCTCCTTGACGTGGAGCATGGTGGGGATAAAAAGAGTAGAACTTTTTTTGAGGTTAACAGACTCAAACAGCACCAAATAAAACAACTTCAAAGCAGCTTCCAGCTTCATATCAGTAATTATTAATAGACTTGCCTAATTTCATCCCAAATTCCAACTTTCAAGTTCTAACATTTTATTTCAAAAACTAGGTCAGAAAAAGAGTGCACGCCAGTATCACGTACAGTTCTTTGGTGATGCCCCAGAAAGAGCTTGGATATTTGAGAAGAGCCTTGTAGCTTTTGAAGGAGAAGGACAGTTTGAAAAATTATGCCAGGAAAGTGCCAAGCAGGCACCCACGAAAGCTGAGAAAATTAAGGTGATAGATGTTCCTTAAGTATAATTTTAGACCAAAACTTTAATTTTTATTCTTATTTATCTTATTTTGAAATTATGGTTGCTTGATATATTGTAATGGCTTATTTATGTCTGTCATTGTTTAACTTTGCCCAAGTATGCTGTTATAAAACATGACAAGTTTCATTAGAGACGGTTTTCATTTTACTCATTTGATGATAGAGGTAATTTGTTTTATAATTTTAATTATTTTGTATATATGAAAATATATAAAATGTTATCTATAATATATAATGTGATGAGAACTGATTTCTAGTTTAAAGAAACAGTTATTATATTGGGCTGAGTACTATATAAAACCTTCAAGTTAATTGGCTTTATAGTGTTTGATTTCTAAATTTATCTGGAATTGTAAAAGTATCTTTCTTTAAAGTGGATTAATTTTTTTGCTTATATAAAGAAATTTACAATGTCATATGTTTTTCTTTTCAGCTGTTGAAACCTATTTCAGGGAAATTGAGGGCCCAGTGGGAAATGGGCATTGTTCAAGCAGAAGAAGCTGCAAGCATGTCCATAGAGGAACGGAAAGCTAAGTTCACTTTTCTCTATGTGGGGGACCAGCTTCACCTCAACCCTCATGTAGCTAAGGAGGCAAGCATTGCTGTGGAGTCTCCGGCACAAGTGGTAGAATCCTCAGGAGTCATTGAAGAAGCTGCTGATAACCCCAAGTCCCTGAGAGAAGAGGGCATTCCCATCAAGAGAAGGCGGAGAGCCAAGCTGTCTGGCTCTGCTGAAAACCAAGAAAGTGAGCCTGGGACAGTAAAGAGTACTCCTCAGAAGGTGGCAGAAGCTGACCCCAAGAGAGGAGTTGGGTGTCCTCCTGGAAGGAAGAAGAGCGTGGCCTCCACTCCACGGAGCAGGAAGGGAGATGCAGCATCCCGGTTTTTGGTCTTCTGTCAGAAGCACAGGGATGAGGTCAGCACTGTGATGGGTTCTGAGGTGTTGTGTATTTATTCTGGGGATTTCCTGAAATTGAGGGACATCCCTTCAGTGCAGTTCCTCTACTTCTCAGCATTATCAGCACAGTCTGTAGTGAGCCTGGCTGAGATTTTAGGTTTAATAAATAAATATTGTTAGGGAACAGTCATTTTCATCCTTGGGTGCAGAGATGCTTGGCTCTGCACTCTTGGTTATAGGAATGTCTCTCCCATGGTGGATGAGAAGATACCAAGGACAGGAACATACCAACAATGAAAGTATTTGAACACTTTTCTTGATTGTCGTCATAGAATAAGGCATCTTTTAGTACATTGTAAAGCTTGATTGTAAAGAACTGAAGGGATTAGGTCTCTGTTTTTTGTTATGTTTGATACTACTTCAAGTGAGTGGGTTGGTAGGGCTTTTCTCAGGTGATGCAATGTGAGAAAATCTAGTATGTGATTCACTATGTTGCACATTAAATGATCCTCTCAGTAGATGGAGAAAAGGCATTTGGTAAAATTCATTGCTCTTTTTGTTATTGTTGTTAAGATTTATTTATTTATTCATGAGGGACACACAGAGAGAGGCAGAGACATAGGCAGAGGGAGAAGCAGGCTCCTCACAGAGAGCCTGATGCAGGACTCGATCCTAAGACCTGGGGATCATGACCTGAGCCAAAGTAAATGTTCAAGCACTGAGCCACTCAGGTGCCCCAAATTCATTGCTCTTTGATACAAAGTTAGCAAGCCAGAATTAGAAGGTGACTTCTTTACTCTATTGAAAGGTATCAATCAGAAACTTTCAGCAGGCATCGTACTTACTGATGAAACTTTAGAAGCATTCTCTTTAAAATTGTGAGCAAGACAAAATACCTATCCTTAACCACTTACATTAAGTGTTGTAGAGAAAATAACTAACCAGTATGCTAAGGTAAGGGAAAGGAATGTTGTTTGCAGAGGTGGGGAAAACTTAAGAGAATCTACAGAAAATCTTTAGAATTAATAAAAGTTCACTAGGACTGCTGGATCTAAGATCAATATACAAGAACGACAATAATGAGGAAACATAATATTAAGACAGAGACCATTTGGGGCACTTGGCTGGCTCAGTTGGTGGAGCATGTGACTCTTGATCTCAGGGTTGTGAGTTTGAGCCCCATGTTGGGTATAGATGTTACTTAAAAATAAAATCTTAAAAAAAGATACCATTTATGACTGCAACAAAAAAATAGGTACCAAGAAAAAAATATAACAAAATATGTATAACTTGGAGAAAAATAACTCTTAGTATTTTACCAGACCTAAGTAAACAGACATGTAAAAATATAGGAAGATTCAATATTCTGAAGTTGAAGTTGTCAGTTCTCCTTATATTAAACTATAAATTATGTATAATCCTAATAAGACTCCCAATAGGAAATTCTTTGCACTTTTTAAGTGCAAAGATGATAAATAGCCACATTTGAAGAGGAGCTTGGCCTGAGGACTTGCCATGTCACACAGGATATTCTGTTATTGGAAGCAATGATATTTGTGCTGGGATGTTGAGGGCAGTGACAGCGCCCAGAGTAGAGCCCAGAACAGGCTCTTGAGCATGTGGAAGCAGATGGGAAAGGGGTGCAGGCAGCTGGACAAGCTGGCTGTTTGGGATGGGTGCTGGGCAGATGCCAGTGGTTTCAGAACTCAGCCCCTGTGGAGCAGCTTTGTGCTTTGGGTGAGGGGAGGTTTTCTTAAGCCAAACTGATCATAGACCTTTGGGGAGCTGTGAAAGTTTATGTGCCAAGCATACCACGAACAAAATGAAAGTATGAACTATGTGTACAGCGCTGAGACAATTCTGAAGGCTATGAAAATGGCAATTTCTAGAAAAGCCTGGGCAGCCAGTGCATCCATGAAGAGATGCCGCTCAACTTTGCTGGCAGCCAGGGAACCGCAAGTGGCAGTCAAGATGAGGGTCATGCTTCACGGCCACCAGGTGAGCAACACAAGCCAGTACCTCAGAAGTGGTGAGCAGCAGGGGAACCCCCATCCAGAGTTGGAGGACCATCATTCCTTACACTTGGTTTCAAGAGAAATTTGGCAATCTGTAGTCGAATTGAAAATGCATGTTTTTGATGTATTATAATATCATGCCCAGCTATTTGCCCCAGAGAAATTGGCCCTTGTGCCCAAGGAGATAGTGTAGTATTCAAAACAGAAAGGTTGTTAAAGGAGTGACAGCTGTGGTGTGTGTGCTCCTGCAGGACTCTGGACACCAGTGAAGTGAGCCCGCTGGAAGTCGGGGGTGGGGGGAGAGCAGGCTGTTGAAGGTGTGTACATCCCACCAGTTCAGTATCAAGTGTGAAAAGTGTAGCATACCCACCTGTTTTACCTACTTCCCAGAAGAGTAAATGTGTAGCTCTGGATGAGTATCCTCTGTCTCAGAACTGAGACGTCATCCCAGGGAGATGCTGGCATTTGGTGGAGGAGCTGTGGTCCCTGTTGGATTTGAAATGGTGCAGAGCACTGAGCAGTGTGAATAGTGGAGAGCTGGACATCTGGATTTCTGCCTGCTCTGGGACCCTTGAAGCGGCCTGCCAGCTGCACTCCAGCCTGTTCCCAGTCTGTTTCTCCATGGTCTCTCCACTCACTTGAAATTATGAGAGAAAAATGGGTGCCTGTGAATTCAAAGCACTTTACAAAGACCACCCTTTTTTGCTTTTGGGGACCAAAATTGTGCTCAAATGGCCTTTCTAGTACTAAGAAATGTGCCAAAAACAAACCGAAGGTTGTCACTCCAGACCTTGCTGACAGGCTGTGGCTTGAAGGCTGACACGGGTGGGGAGGTACTCTGCACTCAAGGAGCAGTGCTGCTGCTCTGGAGCTCTCTGGCTCCAAACACCCTTTGAGAGCCTGGTCTGCACAGTGTGGCCATTGGCATCCTACTAAATGCAAAACCAAACTGAACACTGCAAAATTAAAATTCAGTTCTGCATTAGAGACAAGTGCCCACCCCTTCTCTGCTGGGGGGCCATGTGAGGTCCATGGGCCCCTTTCCTCCCAGCTGGGCTCAGGTGCTAGTTGGTTTTGAGTAATTATGTGTTATCAGGAGAGTGATGATGGCAGGATGCTCTTTTTAACTGGTTCAGTTATGTCATTGTTATAAGTGTGTTTGTGCTGGTTCTCTAATAAGTAATCCTAGACTTGAGGAAGCTGCTCTATTATTCCATCCTGAAGAATAATCTGAGTCTTTCTGGTTGTGTTTTCCTTTTGGGAGGTGGTGACTCCGAGGATGGTTTTTGTTTGGTAGTTAATTGATTCATCAATGGCCAGCCGTAGAGGAACAGAGTTGGATGAAGCCTTCCCTCTGCTTCCTGGACACCCCTTTTCTAGGGTCACTAGATAGAAGACTATGACTATCAAGGACATTTGGCTGCCACTTGACTTTTTTTTTGAGGTCCAACTTCTTGCAAATGAAGGAAAATATGCTTTGTGAAACATATTGAGTTCTTCATTAACATGTTTAGCTTGTTCCTTTTGTCCATCAGGCTGAGCTCAGATGTGTGTTCTGTTCTGTTCCTGGAGTACAGTTAGAGGGGCTGCAGGTGGGGAGATGAGTTTGCTGGAGTTTGCTGTAGACCCCCTGGTGAGCACCTGAGTGGGGAGAGGGGACTCTTCAGGCAAGGAGGTGAGAGCAGGTAGGGGCCCCACTGTGATGAAAAGCCCAGGAAAAATTTATTTACTGACGGCTTCAAGTGGCAATTTCATTGACATTGATGTGTGTGGTTTGTTTCCCATCTTTAAATAATCTTTTCCACTTTCCCTGATTCTAATTTTTACAGATGCATTAGAGTTGAGCCATGCTATATGTCTCTGTTCTTTGTATATATATTCGTGTCAGTCATGTAGTGTTGCATAACACATTACCTCAAAACTTAGTGGCTTAAAACAACAACACACATGGATCATCTGACAGTTTCTAGGGGTCAGGAATTTGGGAGCAGCTTAGCTGGGTGGCTCTGTCTCAGAGTGTCCCATGAGGTCACAGTTAAGTGTTGGCTGGGCTGCAACATCTGAAGGCTCTTCTGATGATGGGGCTGGAGGATCTTCTTCCAAGGTGTTGTACTGATATTGCCTGCTGGAGGCCTTACCACATGGTCTTCTCCATGGGATGTCTGGGGTGTCCTCCTAGCACAAAGGCTGGCTTCTCATGGAGCAGGTGATCCAAGAGAGGGCAGGGAGAGGTCTTATGTAAGTCTTAGACTTGAAAATCGTAGCCCACTGTTTCTACACTGTGCATTGGCTACTCTGGCTAGTGCTGTTCAGTAGGGAGGCAGGAGAACTAGGAATCGAGGCATGAGCTGTAAGGGGCTGCAGCCATCTTAGAAGTCTAAAAGGGGGTGCAAAAAAATAAAAAATAAAAAAAAATAAAAGGTGGTGCAAAGCTCTCAGAGGATGTGGAGGCGACAGGTGGGCTGAGGAGGGTGATCTCTGAGGAGCACACAGAATCTTCATGCTGGTAATGGTTCAGTTAGCACGTGCGTGAGCTTATGGATATTTGGTTTTCCCTATTTTTTGGTATATCTGAGATAGTTTATTAAAAATATGGTTGGGACACTTGGGTGACTCAGTCAGTTGAGTGTCCAACTCTTGGTTTCGGCTCAGGTCAAGATCTCAGGGTTGTGAGATGGAGCCTCGTGTTGGGCTCTGTGGGGAGTCTGCTTGACAATTCTCTCTCTCCTCCTCTGGCCCGTCCTCCAGCTTGCACACATGCTCTCTTTCTCTGTCTCTCAAATAAATAAAGATTTTACTTATTCATGACAGGCACAGAGATAGAGGCAGAAACATAGGCAGAGGGAGAATCAGGTGAGGAGCCTGATTGGGACTTGATCCCAGGACCCTAGGATCACGACCTGAGCTGAAGGCAGATGCTCAACCACCGAGCCACCCAGGTGCTCCTCAAATAAATCTTTTAAAAAACACAGAAGTAGCCATTACTGAGTGCTTACTATCTGTAAGATACATTGCCAGTATGTTACTGTGAAAAATTATATTTAGTTCTCATAAAGGCCTTTTGAGGTTGGCATAACTTATCCCTGTCTTATAACTAGCTACCCTGAGCTCCAAGATGTAAAGTGGGAGGGCATGGGCAGGAAGAAGGATGAGTGAGACTTGGCCCAAGTTATACACACTTGTATACATTGTGTATGTGTGTACGCAGGCACATGTGCACACAGAGCTTGTAACCATTGTGCTGCACTGCTTCATTGATGAAACCCATAAACTTCAATGAGCAGCCATTGCCTTATTAACCTAAAATGATGATGGAGATACTTTCTGTGCCCCCACTGGAGTACACAGTGTATGATTAGGAATGAAAAATAAACAGGTGGCCCCCCAGAAGGTGAGCACTGGGTAGGATAGTGGCTACCTTGACCTTTTTATTCCTGTTCCTAGCACAGAATGCTCCTTGAATGAATGAATGAATGAATGAATGAATGAATCATTGTAGCTGAAATTAAAAGGGTGCTCTGAAGTCAGCCTGGTGGAAGAAAATGTCTTAGGAAGAGTGTGGCCTGTGGAGGGATGGAGTGTGCCATTGTGCCCTTGAGTGTCGACCTGCTTGGGGAGTAATAAAAGTGGGGCGAGGGTAGGCTCCAGGTTATGGGGGATCATGGAAGACATTGCAGGGCAGGGACCCCCTGCACCATACATGGTGTCAGGCAATGGTCCCTCTGGTTGCTAGGAGGAAGACCTTTCAGGGTGGGAATGTCAACAAGTAGGTGTATAAGACTGAAGGCTAGGAGCCATATGCTGGAACCATAGCCATCTAGATGAGGTGAATGCGAGATGCTCATCAGTGGAACTGGCATGGATTTAGGTACAAGGGGGCAGGGGTCCCCGAGGAGGATTCAGGAGTCTTGTTTGATGAAGCAGCTGTGAACACTGCTAGGCTTCATTCTGATTAAGGACATTGTACTCGGGTGGGTAGATCCACAGATATTCATGCTAATCTTGAGGAACCTCTAAGTGGAGAGTTCCAAAAGGCAAGTGTCCTGTGAATTTGAAGCTCTGCACAGAAACCTTCGCTGCATGAAGGTCTGAGACCTTTGATGCTTGAAGTGTTTGGGTTAGTGAGCTCACCTCTCATGAAGGACGGGTAGGTAGGACAGAACTCTGCTGGGCTGAGAGGTGAGGGTGCCCCAAGATGAGCGGAGGAAGCATGTGTATGTGGCCAGAGCTGCCGAGGCAGGGGCAAGGTAGGCACGGTGACAGTTCACAAGGAGAACACCCAGTGGAACGCTGGAGGTCAGAGTGGGATTTCCAGTTGCAAAAGGTGTCGTTGTGGTAGGACATAGAATGACTGGATGATTCACCCACATCTGAAAATGCATGTTCTCTGAGACCCAAGGGTGGGTGGAAGTTGGTGGTATGCTGGTGTTCATGAGGGCCGGGGAGGATACGATGAGGTATAGGGGAATGGTCTGCAGTGACCATGTTGTGAGTAGGGGTTTGCATTTTGAGGCAGGGGTTACTTATGTTGGTTGGGCAGGTGGTGGGTGGATCTACGTGGTAATAGTGACCAGCAGCATTAACTTGATTCCTTATCACTGCCAGGTGAAGCGTTAGCACCTTCACATCACAGACAGGAAGACACCTTCACTTACCCAAGTTCATAAAGCTGCCACATGAAGGAGCCACAAGCGAAACTGGGGCCTGGCCCCTAAGCATGCTGGCTAGAGCTCCGAATTGGGCAGTAAACCTTTTTTGAAAGGGCCTCAAGGGCACTTGAGGCCTGTGTCACTGTTACTCAGCTCTGCTATTATAGCAGGAGAACAGCCCTAGAAAATAGGTAAAGTGATGCTTGTGGCTGTTTCTAATAAAACTATATGAACCCTGATGTTTGAATTTCCTGTAATTTCTATGTGCTATGAAATATTCTTCTGACTTTTTTCCAACCATTTAAAAATGTAAAATCAATTCTTAATTTGTAGACCACACAAAAATGGAACGTGGGGCATATTTGGCCAGCTAACTGTTTGTCCATCTCTGTGCCCCTGCCATGAAAGGCTCTCAAGCTTGGGAATGTGTATGAGCCCCTGGGCATCTTGGAAACACTGATGCCAGGCCCAGAGAATGAACTGGCCTTGGATGGGACCAGAGCACCAGAGGTTTTAAAGCTTGTCTGGCTGTTAGTGGGCACCCAAGGCTGTAGGTCCATGAGTCAGACTCCAGGGTGCCCACGGCCCATGTGCAGACCTTGGGAAAATGCAGGTTCCTCAGGTCTAAGGTTGAGCCTAAGGTCCTCATTTCTAGCATGTTTCTGAGGTGCTGATGCTGGAAGCCCCAGCATGGCTGGAGGGCTGTGCTGGGGGCTTGTCTCTTCAAGCTGGCCTGTGCTGTGTCATGGTGTGCACCTTGGATCCCACCCATACCATCCTTTCAGAGCACATACCTGAGAGGGAAGTTGTGTGTGCTACAGCCAATGAGAAAGCCAAACCAGAATTTCACCCCCATGTTGACAGGTAGCATTTCCATGTCACTCTCCTACCAGTGATTTTTCAAGGAGGTCTAGAAAATTGTAACTTACTACTGATAATTTAGTTATTTTGGAAAAGTGTATTTTTTCCTCTTACCATTTATCATTTCCTGCCTGGACATAAATACAGTTGAATTGTTTAAACCAGCACTGTTTTTATTTATGAGCTTTTAAGGGTTACAGCATCAGATAATCACTAATTTTCTTTGAAGCTTTTATGGGGTATAGTTCCATGATGTGGGAATAAATACACCACATGCTGAGTTCCCAAGGGCTGTGCATTGGATTTTGTGCAGAACAAAATCCAAGTGAATTGTAGGTCTGTGGCCTTCTGAACCCACCTTTCTTGTGTCCACAGGTTGTTGCTGAGCACCCAGACGCCTCAGGTGAGGAGATTGAAGAGCTGCTTGGATCCCAGTGGGACATGCTCAACGAGAAACAGAAAGCACGCTATAACACAAAGTTTGCCCTAGTGGCCTCTTCCCAGTCTGAAGAAGACTCTGGTAAACGTAATACCATAATACTGTGCTTGTGTGCTTTGCGTAGCTGTGACACTATGTGTGTGTGTGTGTGTGTGTGTGTGTGTGTGTGTGTGAGAGAGAGAGAGAGAGAGAGAGAGAGAGAGAGAGAGGGAGGGAGATGTAATGGTATAGCCAGCCGGGCTCTGATCTGGGAGCTCTTGGGAAGTGTGGCCACTCTCCCCAGCTCTGACCCATGCTGCTCACACCAACAACCAGAGCGCACGTGGTCACAATAAAGCAACCTCTGCTGTCTGCGTTTTCTCCCTTGTCATGAGAGCTGTTGGGTGTGATCCTCTGTCTGGCTGCGAGCCCCTTGTTCTTCTGCCCCAGTGGAGCAGGCACTCTAGCCTCTGCAGCTGATGGGGTGGTGTGAGGGAGGACACAAGAAGGAAAGGAGCCCGTGTGGTCTCTAGGACTCCAGTCTTCCATGACATGGTAGAGTGGACTGCAGGCCTATGTTCCCTGGGTGAGGCTGCCCTGCTGGCAGGCACTGTGCCTACACCTCAGGAGGGGCTTGTTCACCTCTGCAGGTGGGGGGTTCTGGGCCTGGTGGGGGTATTCCTGGCCTGTTTACATGAGAGCTCACAGGGTGTGGAAGGTGACTGAGAACCAATCTTAAATATGGCTCTCCTATGGTTCTTCTTAGGCCTTCAGTTTAAAAAACAAAAAATGCTACTTTGCTTCAGTCACTAGAAAGAGAGGGGAGGCTTAATACTGTGAGCTGGGGAGAACCTGTGATAGCGGTCAGATTTGTCCTCCGTGTGTGCTTGTATGCACATGTCACGATACTTCTAATGTAAAAAATATATTTGGTTATCAATTTAAAATACAAAACAATTCTGTATCTCTCAGGGTTCACCACTGAAGGGTTTTGGAGAGGCCATAGTGTTTGAAGACTCAACTGAAAGGAAACCAAGAGTCAGAAGTAATTGCAGTTTGTCTTGTGTGCAGTAGTGTGTGCTTCTAGACCAGCATTGTGGACATCTGACTGTGTCTGCACATGGATTATATAATCTTTCTGTTTTGTTCACAGATGATCTTGATTTTAGGGCTTTCTAGATCTGCACATCAACTAATATATTAATATTGAAGTTTGTTCGATTTTTTCATCACTTTATTGCAAATGCTATATTTTAGAATAGTGAGGATGTTCTGGATTTGTGCATTTTCTTTAAAAGGCGAAAGCTCACTTGATTCTTCATCAGTGTGCTAAATCTAGAAGAGTGGTCCTTTACAAAGACTAGCTTATTTAAGAATGAGGTTTTCCTGAAGATTTAACTATCTTGGAGAGTGTAACTGTGATTGTGTGTCACATGTCATTTTGGACTGCTACTGAGCACGTAGCAGACGAGGATAGGGTTGGTTCCTGCCCTGTGTGTGTCAGCTGTGTGCTTGTCCTGGAGGCCCTCTAGTTGTCCTTGTGGGGCCACCAGTGCTGATAACCAAGATGATGGACTGTGTTGGTGGCATCAGCTGTCCATGGCCTCAGTGTAAGGAATTCAGACATTGCTTACTTCTGTGTGAAATGCCTGCTGTCTTATTTCAGGTACGGGGGGAGATTCTTATGGAAAGGACCGTGACATCACCTCACCCATGTGGAGGTGAGGTGCCAGGTGGCAGTTGCTGCTAGCAGGTGTCTGTAGCACAGTGGACATGTGCTGACCAGGTTGGACAAACCAGATTGAGGAGGTACTGGCAGGTCAGGCTGGCCATGCCCTGTGCTCGTTTGCTTGGTCAGCTACTGAGCAGACCCCATTACTCTGCAGGCCTCTTCCTGGTATGCCTTTGTGGCCAGCCTCCAGTGTTGTGGAGCTTAGTGAAGGCTGCTCTTGGGCCAGCCCACATCACTCTAAGATTGGCAGTTGGGGAGGGCCAGGGCTTGTTTGCTCAGGTAATATCAGGCCTCTGCCTGTGATGATGCTCTGTGTACATGTCCACTGGGGCAGAGTGACCAGGGTGTGGCCACCTGCACCTTCTCCCGAGGCACTGTTGGATGCCACATTTCCTGGCTGGTTTGCTCTGTTCCACCTCCTAGTAAGCTTTGAGGATGACTCTGCCCTCCCACCAGATGTTTGACAAACAGTCCAAGGGCAAACCCTGAACAAATCTCTGTAAAACAGTCATGCAAATGAGAATACTGGGTTTGTGTTTGAAATAGACATTGGTGTGTTCAAATTAATCTGTCTAGACAGCTAAGTTTACCAGGTTGGTACTGTTTGGACACCGTAAGTCTTGGATTAGTTGATATTCCTTGAAACACCTAATAACTGGCATAGTTCAACAACATGTAGAAAGCCCTTAATTTGCAGATACAAAAGGAGTGTTGCAAAAAATTAATTAATTAAAAAATTTTAAAAAAGGAGTGTTGCCACTTAACATGTTTCTTTCAGGAAATATAAAAAGTAGCAAGTTGTGCACTTTATAACTTTCCACTTAAATTCCACTGGTCTTTGAATGTTAGTAAACTTGTAGGTTATATTTAATGCTTCACTATATTAAAATATAATTATAACAAATACCAGTATAATGGATTAGATAAGAATTTTCCAGTAATTTGATGTTACAGGAAATGGTCCATGTAATTAATTTGCAAAATGCAAAGAGATTTGGTCTGTAATACTAGGGCCCTGGAAACCAACAGGATGCAGGAAACCCATCACAGCTGGATTTGCACCTGAATGCCCTGGTTAGATTATCATTGCTTTGGAGGGTGGCTTGAGTGTTTTTCATGTAAGTTTCCCCCATCTCCCATTCCAAGGTAACATCAATGGGAAAAAAAGAAACCACACAAAGAGGACACAGGAGCCTACTGAAGACGCTGACAGCGAAGATGCACCCAGGAAGAGACTCAGGACCGACAAGCATGGTCTTCGGAAGGTAAATGATGTTCCCCAGGACTGCTGTGACCCGCTGTGTGCTGTGGGACTTCTGGGATGCAGGCGAGGGGAGGGAGGAGTGGGAGGGAGCTGGGGGGGGGGTCGGGTGTGGGGGTGTGTGTGGGCAGGAAGCCTTCCTCTGTGGATGGTGCTCATGGGTGTTGTTTCAGATGCAACAGGGTTGGCTTCTCTCCTGAAACCTCTCTGAGAAGGCTGCTGAAGAGAGCCAGTTCTTACCTGCCAGGGACTTAAACACAAACTGTGGGTGCTTGGCTATCCAAAAAAAACCCCCATCCAAACACTTTGAATGATACTTGATGTTTAGATTTAATGGAAATATATATATACTAAAGATTGCCCTTGTCTGTAGGGCTATTATTCAATGTGTAAATAATGGGTTGGCATGAAAACATCAAAATCCATTAGAGACATGTTATACTTCAGTAAAAAAGTTTTTCAGAATCCATTAATGGCATTGAAAATAGATTTTATGAATTCATTCAGTTTATTAGTAATTCATGTTATTGTTTACTTAATGGGAGTACTAAACAGGCTGTGTAGGCCTGTTTGACCACATAGCTAGGAAGATCCAGCCCCAGCGTCCTCTAGTTCTAGCATAGTCCACTGTGCATCAAGGGGCAGAGTTTGCCTGGTGCCTGAAGGAGAGTGAAACGGGCCAAAGTCCACGTATCCAGCCAGACAGTGTATTGTCCCCTCTGGCTTATGGCGCTTGTGCGTGTGGAGAGTGTGAGCCCTTTCCTGGGTACTCTATGGCCCTGTGCCATTTATTGAAACTGCCTCACACACCCATTAGCTTCTTCATGAACTGAGAGTTCAAACAGACCTTGTATCTTTTGTTTGAGTTTATAGCTATTTAATATTTCTTTTTTTTTCCTTTTTTTTAATAAATTAATTTTTATTGGTGTTCAATTTACCAACATACAGAATAACACCCAGTGCTCATCCCGTCAAGTGTCCCCTTCAGTGCCCGTCACCCATTCACCCCCACCCCCCGCCCTCCTCCCCTTCCACCACCCCTAGTTCATTTCCCAGAGTTAGAAGTCTTTATGTTCTGTCTCCCTTTCTGATATCTCCCACACATTTCTTCTCCCTTCCCTTATATTCCCCTTCACTATTATTCATATTCCCCAAATGAATGAGAACATACACTGTCCTTCTCCGATTGACTTACTTCACTCAGCATAATACCCTCCAGTTCCATCCACATTGAAGCAAATGGTGGGTATTTGTCGTTTCTAATGGCTGAGTAATATTCCATTGTATACATAAACCACATCTTCTTTATCCATTCATCTTTCGATGGGCACCGAGGCTCCTTCCACAGTTTGGCTATTGTGGACATGGCTGCTAGAAACATCGGGGTGCAGGTGTCCCGGCGTTTCATTGCATCTGAATCTTTGGGGTAAATCCCTAACAGTGCAATTGCTGGGTCGTAGGGCAGGTCTATTTTTAGCTCTTTGAGGAACCTCCACACAGTTTTCCAGAGTGGCTGCACCAGTTCACATTCCCACCAACAGTGTAAGAGGGTTCCCTTTTCTCCGCATCCTCTCCAACATTTGTTGTTTCCTGCCTTGTTAATTTTCCCCATTCTCACTGGTGTGAGGTGGTATCTCATTGTGGTTTTGATTTGTATTTCCCTGATGGCAAGTGATGCAGAGCATTTTCTCATGACTATTTAATATTTCTAACAGAGTCGTTGTGTATTATAGTTTTGAGTAAAGCTTTGTATACTGTCTTTTACTAATCTAAGTTAAGTTCCTTTCTTCATTGTTTTATTTTGAAGAATAGAAAGATAAATTTCACATATTGTGGGGATCCCTGGGTGGCGCAGCGGTTTGGCGCCTGCCTTTGGCCCAGGGCGCGATCCTGGAGACCCGGGATCCAATCCCATGTCGGGCTCCCGGTGCATGGAGCCTGCTTCTCCCTCTGCCTGTGTCTCTGCCTCTCTCTCTCTCTCTCTCTGACTATCATAAAAAATTTTTTTCACATATTGTTCAAGTGTCAATGTGTGGCCATCACATTATCTGTCTTAACCTCTTGAAGGCTGTTGTGCACTTGACGGCAGTAGGCAAGGCCCTGCCCTATTTTTCTGGCCCAGAGAGCATCCTTCCAAGGCACCTGTCAGGTGAAGTTGTTAGTGATCAAGTATCCAGCACTGAGATAGGTAAAATTCACCTGGCATCACTGACATTGGTGTTACCTGGCAGCTCAGGCCCATTATTAAAGCAGTCAGGCTGACATTGACTGCCTTGAAATGTTTGTATTTCGTATTTACCTTAAAAAATGGCCCTGGACATTTGAAATCTCAATTCACATTAAATAGTAGGTAGAAGTTGCACATAATAAAAAGAGTAGTGGTTGAGTTTTTATAAACCTAATTAAGCCATATCCTATATACTTCCTAATATGCATTGAGCACTTTGATGTGTCAGGTGCCATTCCACGTGCTGTGCCCCTGTTACCTGGTCCACAGTCTTGTGACTACTTCCACTAGCCCTGGGCAGCTTGGGGAATGGGGCTTGGGTGCAGGGACTGGGAAGGGTGGGGGGTGGCCATGAGGCAGTGCTGCCCTAGGGCTATCAAGACAGGTTTATATTCAACTACTTCACATTCTGAGCACTGGACAAAATGTTTCTGATCCCTTCTTGTGTGTGTGGGTGTGTGTGTGCTTGTGTGTGTGTTTTCCTCAGTTGTGAAACATGCTTTATTGATGATCTTTGTGAGGTTTGTCTGGACCTTATCTCCGAATTGGAAATCCTCAGCATGGGGACTTAGAGCAGTGATATTGGCAGTGACTTGGGGCCCCACTTGAGGTCGATTGAACAGCCTCTAGAGCAGAAGGGTTGATTTCTTCTACTTCATACTCTGCTTTGAATTCAGAGGGAAATTTGAGTAGCATATTGAATGCAGCTCATGTGAAGAGTCTCAGCAACATGAGTTGTTGCTTGGCACAGCCCCACTGGCTCCTCTGTCCCAGCAGAGGATGGGGCAGGTACAGGGGAGAGCCTTCCAGCTCCTTCCAGCTGTGGAAGAGGTGTGAGACTGACTCACTGCTCATAGCATGTATGGAACATGTTTCCAGAGGAAGATGTTTCTGTTGCAGTGTTTCAGCAACCTGTATTAGTTCACATGAGGTTCCCCCCTTCCTTTTCTTCTCCTTTTTCTTTTATTTAATAACAGAGAGAGACGATCAATGACAAGACAGCCCGAACAAGCTCCTGCAAGGCCATCGAGGCAGCCTCCTCACTCAAGAGCCAGGCAGGTAATGTGGTTAGTGTTTCTTCCTTGTCAGCTCTTCCAGGCACCTGGGCTGGGCTGAATGTGCACAGGAAGCTGGGCTGGGGAAGGGTGCGGGAGCTGACAGCTAATAACGGGGAGGGAGGTTCTCGTGTGACTGAACGAGTGAGTGGTTGCAGTGCTTCAGCTACGTTTTATTGAAGTTGTTTTTCTACTGGGCTTTATTTTCAGTTTAAAATTATACTAAAGAAGTTATTTAAATGAAGAATATCCAGATTTCTCACTTGATGGTGCCAGTTGTTGCTCTAAATTCCATCACTTTTGAGTATCTCACAGCTTCTGTATATTTTCTAAAAGTAAAAGTAATGACTAGTTATTTCTGTTTTGTGTGTTGAAGAACCTAGCTTCAAAGCAATGAATGGTGGAGTAGGCTCCCTTTCCCTTCTCATTGTCTTTTTGAAGTGTCTGACAGTTTATTACAGAGAGCTTATCATCTCCAACTCTTTTTTGTTTTTATTTCTTTAAGAGTGAGAAGGTAGGAGAAGGGCAGAGGGGAAGGGAGAGGCGGGGGGTGGGGGTGGGAGAGAACTTCAGGCTGACTCCCTGCTGAATGTGGAGCCCAGGGCATGGCTTGATCTCATGACCCGGAGACCCTGACCTGAGCCGAAATCACGAGTAGGCTGCTTTGACTGACTGAGCCCCCCAGCATCCTCCTAACTCTTGATTAGAAAGGAAAACAACATTCAGGGGGGAAGTGAGTGTGGGTTGGAAATGGATTTATTTTCCTTATTTTGCATGAGTGCTATGCTGGTTTTCAGAAATCAGTTAAATAGACTATGAAAAGAAAGACAGTTGTGAGTAGTTTGAACATTGGGTATTTCCTAAATAAAAGGATTACTTTTAAGAATGGTATAGTGGTCTTCAGCGATATGTACTGAACTTCTTACATGTTTGGAAATGGTGTTTGGAATTTGCTGCAGAAGTGTGTGGCAGAGGGGTGTGAACATAGGTGTGGATGGGGCTGTGTTGGCCCTAGGTCAATGGATGTGGGATCAGCCAGGCAGGGGTTGCTGGCGTTCACTGGACTGTTTGCCTTTGTTTCCATTCAGATTTTTTCACAGTAAAAAGTTAAGCCTTTACTATGACAAAGGAGCCCAGGAAATTTATCTTTAGAACTTCATTTATTACGGGGTAATTTTGAAGCAGTTAAGAGATTGAGGGTTTAAGATTTCAAACTTTATAAACCAAAATTGTTTTACAGCAACGAAACATCTGTCAGATGCATGCAAACCACTGAAGAAGCGGAATCGGGCATCCACAGCAGCGTCTTCTACTCCTTTTAGCAAAAGTTCATCTCCTTCTGCATCCTTAACTGAGAATGAGGTAAAATAATAATGATAGTGATGACATGGTGTTCGTATGAAGGCCAGTTAGTTGCCCAAGTTGAAGTGTGAGCAAAAGTCAGACTTAACAAACATAACACTGGTATCCTCTCCACAAATGTAGGTGAGTTTCAGAGTCTTTAAACTATGTATAAGTCATGGAATGGAAAAAAAAAAGTCACTATTTTAGTCTATTTGAGCACCACAGATATACACACATGCACACAGTGTATGTATAAATGTACGTGCATATACTTTAGTCTGGATGTAGTTTCATTGTTTTTCTTGAAATTTGTCTTTAAAATGTTGTGTTCTCTATCCCCCTCACATTGTAATTAATTTTCCATATCCCAGGAAGTCTGCTCTGATCCTAACATGACACTGTCACTTGAGCTGACTCTGGTCCCCAGGGGGGTGGAGGGTGGCCCTCTCGCTATGTCGGATTCCAGCGGTTTTTGGACCTAGGCTCACGGAGGAATGTTCTCATGCGTTCCATGGTCTTAGTCCTTTAAATTCTGGCGTATTCTTAGGTACTTGAATGTGGAGGTGAGTCAGAACCACCATGGTAATACGACTCCTCTGTTTTCTGTATTTGCAAAATATGCAATAGCAGAATAATAGCTGCTTGAGGCTCTTACCCTCATTGTATCATGACATCATCAAATATAAAGTCTTTGCCATTCTAAAAACAAAACAAAAAAACAGCCTCAGAATGCAAGCATGACACTTTTGTCCAGAGGGAGTTTGTCTCAATTTTATTGACCACCCAAGTGACTAAGGAGTTTATATTCAAGTTTTAATTCCTTATTATTTTGTTCCCTGTGATCCTCTTTTTCTCATTGTAGACATGAGTCCTGTTTTTAGAGTATTTATGAGGAGATGCTAACCTTGGGTTTTTTTGAACAAGGCAGTCAGGCAGGGCATGGATAGACCCTCACTCTGTTGGGTAAGAAGGTGGCACTTCTGACTTGCCATCTGCCACAGTCACTGCTGGGGGCCTGGCGGTGCCCCTCTGGTCTCTCGGCCTCGGCTGCTTCCTTCTCTTAGAGGAGGGCCGGGCCTTCCCTCGCGGGGTGTCTGCCATGGGCTTGGGCCATCTGAGGGGTGCAAACCCCCGAGGGCTGCTCTGAGTGGGATTTTCTTTGGGGACTCACACCAGTAATGGTGGGAAGCTGCTCACATGTATGGGACTGGGGCTTTCTCATAGTTTGGTATGTGTAGGTGACTAAACATTTCTTACATGTGGGCACATTCAAGAAAATGCAGTAAGAATTCTTCATTGAACTTCCAAGGGCTTATTGAAACATGGAAAAAACAAATTTTATACATATGTTTTTCCTTTTTTCTTGTCTGAATTATGATTAGTATCCTGAAAAATTAAAATAAGGATTTTAATTCTAAAGAAGAATACTAAAAACATTTCAGGTCCACAGACCCTTTCGCCTAAAGTCGGCTTTTTTATTTAAAAAAGATTTTTAATGAGTTTTCTTCTCATTGCCTTTTGATCCACTATCAGGTTGAGTTTTTACTTACTCTGTTGTCAGATACAGTTGCAAGGAAAAACTGAGGCTGAAAACAAATCTTTTCTGTTATTTCTGGTCAGAAGCTGTGCCAGCCAAAGGCTTGGATTTGGGGCAGCACAGCCCAGGGTGGACACAACCAGGGTGGGGTTAGAGCAAGTGGATCAGGCCTGGTGGTCTGACATTCACTAGGGCCAGGGTGAGTGTGAACTTCCTGTGTAAGACATTTGTTCTGAACTTGGGAAGCATTTTATAATCATTAGACTTAATTGATTTTTAATTCTTTAGAACTTCAGAGTGGATAGTTTATTAAGTATGTTTATATTGTATATTAAATACATTAAATCATACACCATTCTGCATTTTGAGAGTGATACATAGATCCCATAGTATGTATTCTGTTGCTTATATAAAAACATTGAAATTACTAGGCCTTATCCATCAGGCTACTCTTATGTGGCTTATATAAATCTTTCATTAGTGTTCATTAAAACTACTTTATTAGGCGAACAAAAAGCCTTGTCTATTATGTGTTAACACTACTGAATCATAGTACGTGTTTACATTGTATACACCATGCTGAATGCCTTTTAGCATAGGAGGCAAAGTGTAGTGTTATAGAACAATGTCCTGTAAACCACTGGTCCAGTTCTGGTGGGAGTTAGGTGACCATGGGAGCTGCTGTTTAGGGTTCAGATTGGTCCCTTATTCAGGGCACATGCCCACTGCATGTTTGTATGTCCTGCTTTTACAAACATCCTTGACTGACACAGGAGTTTTCACTGAATTGGTATTTCAAGACATTTTAGGTCATTTGTGGTTTAAATTCTTCTCAAAAAAGGTATATGTGAGAAATAAAATTTATATTTAAATAATTATTTCGTAGTACTACATCACGCTAATGAAGAGAATAGATTAAAATTACACACGTGCATGACGAAGGCCTGTGAAGGAATTAATGTGATTTAAGTGTTTTGTAACTTCATTTCTTATTCCCTTAGTAGAGCAAATTCTTATTTTTTTCGCCTTCACTGGTAACAGCTTTTATGGGAGCCCACATCAGCCAAGTTGGATTTGAACTCAGCTGCCCTGTACTGCACTTAAAATGATGTAATATTCCAGGATGTCTGCTGCAGGTGGTGTATCATCGTACACACTAAAGGGACATTCCTATCACAATCATTTTATGGAAGATGTGTGATAATCTGTTTTTACTGGTATTACTAACACATACAATGAAGAAAACAGATAACAAATTTTAAGACCAAGGTAAGATACCTAATCAAGGCCATTTACCTGATCACATTCATCTCATAATAGAAACACACTCATATTGCAACGATCCATGTAGATTTCACGTTGAAAGGATGCCCTTCACCCGGGGCTGCCCCTGGGCCTGCGACAAGGACTCTGCGCCGAAGGGGCTGGTCTTGATAGAGGCCACCCTTGTCTCCTAGTTCATGACTTACTGAGTTTTTATTGAAAAATGCTGGCATCTGCACCTTCAGAAACAGAGAACAAGCAGCACACACTTAAAAGGAGTCTTCGTCAGCTAATTCCCATTGCCAATGGAATGTACTCAGTACTGTACATATTAAACTCATTTCCAACATAAAAGGCAGGAGGAGTTTTGATTCTGTCTTTTTTTACTAAGCAGTTTTACTATGACACTAGATACAGCAATTTGTAGGAAAAAATATCATTTACAGTATCATTATGAGCCATTTAACTCTACTCTTTTGATTCAGTGACCGGTATCTTAGGGATACCATAATCAGGTTATTTACAATCACCACTTCATCATTTGCTTTTGTAGGACATCAGCTATCATATTAAATGTCTAAGTCTTGGGTGACCACCTGGTGTCATATCCCTGGGTGTCTGCATGTTTGCATGGTGAGGTGCAGGCCTCACTCGCCCTTCAGCTCGTGGAGGCAGGAGTGCTGTTCACGTTACCATGTTAACAGCACTCGGTTCATTCCCAGCAGACTCTTCAGATGTGTTCTACCTTTCATGAAAGTTTCTGACTAATACTTGTGTTCTAAACCGTTAAGTAATGTAACGCATGTAAAACACTTAGGGTGCCTGGCGCCTTGCAAGGACTCAGTGGTTCGCTATTGTGACAATAATGGTTAATAACAATAAAAATAATAAAATCATCATCATTCCATTTTTATCCAAAAGTATAAATTTTGCTTTGGCATGAAAAGCAATCCTCTTGACTGCATTCTGCACGTGGGGGTAAAATAAACCTAGAAGTGGCAGACACTGGGTTGGTTTGAGTAGCACCTGAGGGTAGTAGCCTGTGGCTGAGGGCTGGTCGGGTGGCTCTTCTCAGAGCTGATAGGATACACAGCCTCAGAGGTGGCCTGAGTCATGCTGTTCCAAAAGGACATGAAGAAGCTCAGGAGTAAATGTAGGGTTCACAGAAAACTAATTATTAAATTTAAAATGTGAAAAAAGGTCACGTAAAAGTGGCCCAGTTCCACAAACGAGCACCCCCAGTAGAGACTAGCCTGAAAGGTTTTGACAAGAATGCATTTGAAATTACAGCATGATGGATTTTGAATGGGCAGCCGGCCAGCTACCAGCATGTGTTAGGTGCATTAGAAGTCAGCTGGAGAGTAGGTGCTTTATCCACTAAGCAGCAGAAAATTAGCATCAGTTGAGGACATAGGAGGGCATGGGTTGGGGGTTGGGGATAAGGATGGGGAGGCGTTATCCCTCCGTTGGGGATATTGGCAAGGTGGCCAGGCGCAGGCAGTGAGAGGGACAGTCCCACATGCGGCAGAACTGTCCCTCTCCAAGTGCCAGCAGTGGTCTTGCTGGGGAATGCTGGTGGATGATCAGAGCTCCTGAGAGGGCCCACCCATGGCTTCCTGAAGGTGAGTCAAAAGGGCTTCTATTTTGAAAGAGCTTAGGGGCAAGTAAGTTTGTCTGCCAAGAGTACAAAAAAATCATTCTCCTACTAATTTAATATGAATTCCCTCATTTCCTAAAGAGATCAGAATAACACTGATACGTTGTAGTCTTGTCATTGAACTGCCTGTTGTTGAGATGACTTTTGCTTATACTGACAGAGAACCACTTAACGATCCCATTTGCTTGATTCAAACCATCTGCCATACACACACCGCATTTGTGCCTGGTGAGAGGAGGTGGGTACGAGAAGGAACTCTCTAGTATAAAATGTGAGGCATTCGCAAGAGGTGGAAACTTGTTTGAATATACAAAAGTTTAGATTGTAGCTGTTCTGAAACTGAGAGTTGCCCATTGTCATAGAGTGGTACCCTGACTGAGTATGCCTGTTGGCAGTAGGGATCCTGTGCTGTTTACCCACCTGCTAGGGGCTTCTGTCTCCCTGTGGGCCTTTCTTTAGAGCTTGTACACAAGTTAAGTGTCTGTCACTGCTGGTGATGAATTTAGGTGTATTAGCATCTCAGTACTCCCTCTGTACCTTGTGTCTGTTATATTTCTGTCT